ACTAGCACTAGCACTAGCACTAGCACTAGCACTAGCACTAGCACTAGCACTAGTAGTAGCTGTAGTTGTAGTTGTAGTTGCAGTAGTAGTAGTAGTAGTAGTAGTAGTTGTTGTTGTAGTAGTAGTTGTAGTAGTAGTAGTAGTGTAGTAGTAGTAGTAGTAGTAGTAGTAGTAGTAGTAGCAGTCGTAGTAGCAGTAGCAGTAGTAGCAGTAGTAGCAGTTGTCGTAGTAATAGTAGTAGTAGTAGTAGTAGCAGTAGTAGTAGTAGTAGTAGTAGGAGTAGTGGTAGTGGTAATCGTAGCAGTAGGAGGAGGAGGAAGAGTAAGAGCAAGATCAAGCTCAGTCATTAACCCTCGACTTCGGAATTTCCGGCTAATACTTTGAGCGAAGCACCACGAAGTAGCGCCCGACTTCGTCGATGCGGCGAGAGAGGTATGAGATCTCCTGTCATTTGAGGGGTCCGCGCTAGGGCCAAGTCTTCCGTACGACACGAGACAACTCAGCGGGAGAAGCACAGTGTGCGACAAGGAGTAAGTTTTCTTTTTGTGTGGGCTTCTTACAGATTCAAACGCCGAAGTCCCCCAACCCCAAGCTCAAGAGAACCCTTATAAACCCCCTTCCAGGGTTCGCAAACAGGGCCCGCCTGCTTTACATAGCGGTGCGTCATAAAGCACGTGTCCGGTCGGGAGGCTTTGCCCGGACAACACGCCTGCAAAGCAATGAAGCTGAACCAGCTACAACTGCTCCAAGAACACCCCGCTACTCCTGATGTGCCTTGCATGCAAGAACAGGTGCAAGTACCCCAGTAGCAGTGCCGTCAAACGATTAGCAACAGCATCATCGTCACTGTTGTCATCCTCATACTCAACATGGCGCACAGAGCCTGGAGACGCCCGACAGGCTTGGCAAGGAACGACGAGAACAGTTGGCCCAGTTGGCTGAGAGTGTGCTGGTCTGAACGAGATCCTCCCCGTTTAGGGTTTAGGGTTTAGGATAGTCAACGAATCTGAGACCGGCCACTGCGCAGAAAATCCTGATTTCTAGGCCCATCTTGAAATCTTAACCCCTCTACCTAAACCCTAAACTATAAATGCCAAACCCGACCGATACGAGCCTCTTTACCTTCCAACCTGCTTAGGCTTTGGAGCTCAGAATTGAAAGTTCAGGGTTTTGGATTTATAGCTAATAACGCGTAGTGTAGGAGGGTTTAGGGTTTAGGGTTTAGGTTTGAGGTTCATAGGATGTCGGGAATACAGGACTTGTGAGAGCCCAACGAACCTTCGGACGCCATGAGAATCGAAAATGCCTGTTCAATCAATCCACCTAATGTAGGGGCCTTAATAATTAGAATAGGGCTTCGGGGCCCATTATATACTATACTTATAAGAAGGAGCCCCCAAAATAGTATTGAGAACTATTTAGGCCCCTATATTAAGGTCTTAAAGCTGTGAACCTGAGCCCTGAAAGTGCGTGCCCAACCAGCGGTGCCTGGCTTCCGCCCCCCGGTCCAGCCAAGCTCATGATATCAGGGATCAGCTTACAGTCCGCGTCGTCCTCAAAATTTCGGCTCAAGGGCTCAAATCGGTTTAGGGTTTAGGGTGCAGGGTTTAGGGTTTGGGTTTAGAGTTTCGGGATGTTTAGGGTTTAGGGTTTTGGGTTTTGGGGTTTGAGTTTTGGGGTTTGGGTTTAGGGTTTAGGGCTTAGGGTGGTTTGAAGAGCTGCACACACGAGCACGCGGAACACAAAACCGAAAGACTCACGGTCTCGGCGAAGCACACCGCGCCTTCCGCCAGCTTCACGTGTTTCGTTGCATGCCTTCTCACTACTTGATAGTGTAACATGTTGAAGGGTGCCTTGTTTTGCGGGCGGCCTGTGGCCAAGTATAGCATGAATCTAACCAGAAAATTTGCACATACTGATGATGGCAAATCTCGGGTTATTTTAAGCCTTAAGCAAGTCCTCGTGGGTAAAGACCAAGTTTACGAACTGTAAGTGCGGCTTACAAACCGCAAACCAGAAACCCATCGTGTGAAAAAGCCATAAAAAATCGAACCCGTTTGCCATCCAGGAACAGAAAACCGAGTCAGTAGCGGATACTGGCAAGGCCCCCCCCCCCGATGTCCTTACCTAGATCCACTCACCCGAACCGGGGACTTTAAACCCATCCTGAACCCTATAGAACCTACGGACCTACAAGTACCTTGTTAGGTGTTGTTGGGGCTCGTCGTGGCGATTCCCTTATATCACATAAGTCCTTAACAGGTAGGTGCTGTATGTTAGGGTCCAGGTAGACCCCAAACTTTACGCAAACCTCCGAAAGAAAAAGAACAGACCCTAAACCCTATACCCTAAATCCTAAACCCAACCCTAAACCTTATGCCCTAAACCCTAAACCTTATACCCTAAACCCTTAACCCCATACCCTAAACCTTATGCCCTAAACCCTAAACCTTATACCCTAAACCCTAAAGCCTAAACGCTAAACCTTATTCCCTACACCCGAAACCCTAAACCCTAAACCTTATGCCCTACACCCGAAACCTTAAACCCTAAACCCTAAACCCTGAACCCGAAACCCTAAACCCGAAACCCTCGACCCGAAACCCTAAACCTTATACCCTAAAGCCTAAACCCTAAACCCGAAACCCTAAGCCCGAAACCCTCAACCCTAAAACCTAGAAGGCTCCTCGGAGTCGTGCGGAGCTGGGACTAAGCCTCGTGGCCGGCAGATGTTCCACGGGTTACGCGAAGAGAAGAAGGCAGGGGCTTTTTCCGGGGATGATGTAGTTTAGTTATAATGGGGGACATCGTTATGCTTATGTGAATATAGTTGTAGTTACAACGGGGGACATAATCATAATTATAATCGCATAGTTATAGTTATAATGGGGGAAATAGTTATAATTATAATCGCATAGTTATAGTTATAATGGGGGAAATAGTTATAATTATAATCGCATAGTTATAGTTATCATGGGGGGAATAGTTATAATTATAATCGCATCGTTATAGTTATAATGCGGAAATAGCTATAAAGTGTAGAGAGTGAATGGCATTGCTACCAAGTGCTCGGACGCTTCTATTACGGTTATCAGCTTCTGGCTCGGAGAATTCATCTTCGAAGGGCCCCAGCACTGGAAAGAACGACGCTGGCATGCTATCTTGCTGATGTCGGTTTGGCGCCCCTGCCGAAGACAACTCTGCCCCCATCATGAAGCCGAACACCCATGCGATTCCGCCCTTTACAAACAAATCCTGTCGGGGCCTTGGAAGGCATGCCCCATGTCTCCATCACCTTGTGCAAGGGTCATCGCGTGCGAGCTGGTTGTCTGATTCCGGCTGCAGCTTACCACGACGCTTGTGCACACTATAGGTTTGAAGCGTGGGCGACTTGGTCAGCCTCACTCAGGCACAAGCGCCCTTGCATGAACATTCTGATTCTAAATTGTCTTGCAGGGCTTCCGGCGAGGCTGGCGAGGAG